TATTGATTGATTATCAGATGCCTCCGCCTCTGCCTGCAGTGGTGTGCTCTGTACCCCTCAAAGCTAGAGATAAACTGAAGCCATCTCCTATCCCCAGTCCAGTCCTGGTTGTCACAGTTCACCTCCTGAGTTTGGTGGGCCTTTCTGGCTGGCTACAGAGTCCAGGAAGAACAAGGCAGTGCCCGGGTACTAAAAACTCCATGTGCTCTCCTTCCCGATGTGTCACCCACCCCACACAGACACCAGTGCGGGAGGCTCCTCAGGGCTCAGTTTGCAGAAGGAGACCATTAGGGTGGAGGAGGAGGAGAGGTGCTGGTCTCAGTGGTCCTGATGTGACATGGGACACACTGGACACACACACACACACACACACACACACACACACATATCTGTGTGGCCCAATGGTTCACACTGGCTCAGCACCCCCTAACGGGGTGACCTGTTCTGACATACCAGGCCCTTTCTGGCATCAGGAGGAGCTGTGCACCTAGGACATGCCACGGTTATGGAGTTAATAATATCCCTTAGTTATTGCGGGCTGATCAGGTCCACAATCTCCTGAATGAGTGTACGGTGAAGGCTAAATAAAAAGAGGCAAATGGAATGATTTGAGGGCTGCAGGAAGATCAAAGCCCTCTCACATAATTCAAGATTCTCTCAGAGCTGAGACCTCAACCTTCTCTGGGTCACCCATATTTATTTGCTTAGCAGAAGAAGGGAGGGGAGTAGTCAAGAAGGGCAGAAGCACTCAAGGACTTCTCTAGGGAAGGTAGTAAGTTGATCCACTGAAGAATGATATGCCTGAGGCTACAGTCTTCATTTAGTTGAGATCTGATCCAGGTGTCCTTGGCTGTGATCTTGCCTTGTCCTTTGAGGCTTTCTGGCTTCATCCACCACTACAGGCTGTAGTAGGGATTAGTGACTCACAGAGGATCACTTACGAGGAGTCCGCCATTTCCGGATAAGGAGACTTGGCCTTGGACAGATTCACAAGTGAACGCGGAAAGCCAATTGGTTAATATTAAATCCTGTTCAGAGCCACTTTGTAGTGGTCTCCAACACATGGTGACACAAGTGTGACTCCTGGGACAGAGTCCAGACACCTGGCTCACACCACTCATGCAGGGCTATGGTGGTGATAATGGGGACCTTCGCAGGAAAGCACCACACCCACCAGGGGACACATGACTCCGATGTTCAGAAAGAACAAGTCCCTGCAGAGGGAGGGGGTGGGGCAGGGCACAGGGAGCAGCGAGGAATCTCCAGTCCTACGCACCACCGTAAGAATTAGGTAAGCAGCTGCGGGGCACAGAGTCCAGAACACACAGTTCCCGGCATGCCGGTTTCCACTGACAGGTAACTAACGCTCTCGGCCAACGTCCTGGAACTGCGGGGACCTGGACAGATCCCTCCTGCCCCATGCGGGTGTTGACTGCACACCCTTTTCACCCCTGACGCGTGGTTCACCCTGCCAAGTCGGGACTGTTGAGAAACCTGTGTCCGCCAGGTCAGGGTGAGTGATCAATAGAGTCAGGACCCAAACTGGGCAAACTTTACAAACCACTCCTACATACACGCCTACCAAATGCACCGGGAGCTCAGGAGGGAGTGTACCCAAATGCCTCCCAATCTGCTCTTTGACAGAGCCTGCTTGGGATGGATGCGTGTTGATTTCCATCCATCTTTATGTTGGCATGTTCCTTCTTTATATAAAGACAGTCACTTAATATTATATATTCCACACTGTGAAATAAGTCAAGCAACAGCAAAATGATCAGGAGTTCAAGCACTAGTTACATGCTTGCCCATAAAAGAGAATGAACGTTAAGTATCAGGGAGTGGTTAAAATACACATTAGCTATCAACACCCAAGCAGACAGTGACATTCAGAGTGCTAGATGGCTCCTAAGAACGCGCCTCTTAAAACAAGTACATCAGTCAGTCAGTCAACACATATTTATCAAAGCCTACCGTGTCCTGAGCTGGTGAGGCACACTGATAAATAGGACAGATTAAGGACCAAACAAAGAGGAGAGTAAGAGAGAGACAGGGAAGCCACTCATTTGGGGATTACATTTAATTGATTGAGAGTTACTTGCTATAAAGCAGTCAAGAATGACCTCTCTTAGGTGGCCTGAGGGACTTGAACTGAAACCCCAAGCAAATGCCAAGTCCTTGATGTGACCCAGGACAAGCAAGCCTGGCGTGGAGGGCGTCCATGTGAGCCAGAAGAAGGAAGGTGGCCACCGTTGGTGGGCATGACAGCGGGGTACCAGGGTGGCAGCGAGCCAGGTACAGCAGGCTTTCAGAATGTGTTGTGGAGTGAAAGGGCGGGAAATGAACATGACACGGGGACAGCCCTGAGAAAGGCAGCTCTCCCGGACACCGCTGGTGAAGCATTGCTTGATCTATGTTTCCTAAAGCAAAGGAGCTTCCGCCCTGTGAGTTCACCTGCCCGTCTGTCCTGTTGGACACAGAACTGTCCAGCAGAAAAGTCACTCCACACATGGGATTTAGATTGGTGAGTAACCATATTAAAGAGGAAAAAAAAGGAATAAAATCAGTACTAAGGATGTAGTATCAGGAGATCCAACACAGTATATCCAATCTGTTATTCTAAGATGTCACCCATGTAAAAAAATGAATGAGATGTCTTACACTGTTGGGTGTGACGTCTCCAAAGCTGGTGTGAACTTTGTTTACAGAGAAAGCACATCTCTGTTCACCCTGCACATCTCACACCCGCGATAGCTGCCGGTGTCCAGGGCACCACCGGGACAGGACAGCGCAGCTAGAGGAGCAGCCTTGGGGCCCCGGGTCAGTCGGGGCCTTGGTACCAGGTATGACCCAAAAGTAGAGATGTTTACGCTAAAAACATTTATTCGAGTGAAAGTCACATTGCCGTGAAGTCCCTCAAAATCCTCCCGCTCTCTGTGAACACACGCATCCCATCGTGCTTGCTGCTTTCTGGAGCAGCTCGGGAACCCTCTTTCCTGTGGGCTGTATAAAGTGTGATCAAAAATGTGGTGAATGCTGCTGCCAATACCATCCAAAGAAAAAACGGCCTCATAAAAACGCAACACTGTCCGCATCCACCAGATGAGGGTCTGTGTCCAGTCACCAGATCTGCCACCATGTGTCTTCCGATTCTTCCCCAAAGTCAAAATGACCATGAAAGGGAGATTTTTTGAATCAGTTCAGGACATCGAGGCAGCCAGGACAGAACAAATAAAGACACCAAGGAAAGAGGACTCCAGAGTGGCTGCAGAAAGCGGCAAGGACGATGGGATGAGTGTGTGCAAACAGAGCAGGATGATTTTGAGGGACTTCATGGCAATGTGACTTTCACTCTAATAAATGTTTTTAATTTAAATACTCAACATATTTTTTATCACACCTCATATCTCAAGCAACTAAAACATTCACTGCACGCAGTAAGCGTTTGGTCTACTCAGGAAGTGAATAAACACCTCGTCGTGGGGGCCTTGCTGGAGCTGCAGTTGGGGGCATGGGGAGGAAGAGTGACAGCAAGGGGCTCAGCGGCCCCTCAGAGACCCCACGACCTGATTCCACTTGTGCCCCACTCAGGTGTGTCGAGTCGGGTGAGAGCACTTCTCCACACCAAGAAAATGGCCCCAGAAAGGCAAAGAAGCCCCACTGGTACGTGTAAGGGCCACAGCCTGAACCCCACCTCCTAGCCGAGGGCTGTTTAGACCGCAGAGTGAAAGGCACGGGATAAAGCACTGGGGTCTGTGGCAGGACCACAACCCTCTGGGGCCCCGTTTGCAGTGTCCCAGTGCACGAGATGGCTGGCAGCTGGCGGCTGGCAGCATCTTCAAGTCTGGGTTGAGAGCAAGGTTCAGGATTTCTTGTCAGTCTCAGAAGTGCCTTCTGACCTTCATGCATAACACCTGGAATTCCCAAGGGGAACACCTGGCCTTCCCAGCAGGAATGCCTGGCTCTTCCTGGCTCTTCCGAACAGGCTCTTTTCCATAGATATTTCTCCACTTAATCTTTTTGAAAAACAGAAATTCTATCTCCGCCCCAGCAGAGCATTACCATACACAAACCACCACTTATTCAAGAGAAAGGTCATCTGAAGTCTTTCCAAGCGTGTTGATAGAGCTAAGCTTTCTCTGCTGCCTTCCCTCAGCAGAGAGGAGAGCTGCACAGCACCCAGACTCCGCGCTCTAGGACGGACCCGGCACTGGAGCAGGGACCCCCAAGCCTCACAACCGCTCAGCACTGAATGCTGCAGCAAAGGGGGTTCTCCGTGTCCATGGTGTCACTGCAAATCTGATCCGTGTGACAACAGTGACTGCAGGAAATCGGGGACTCCAGGGATGAGCCCAGGTCCACATGAACCACAGGAAGTGGGAAGACGATAGTGGACCTCTCCAAGGCTAGTTTTGAAGATCAGCTAGACAAGCCACAAGAATGTGTTAGATGTCAGCCATGTAATTTTGCTTGCTTGTTTTTTAAGACCGGGTCTCACTAAGTAGTTCAGGCTGGCCTTCAACTCACTATGTAGCCCCAGTTGGCCTCAAACTCGCAGACATCCTCCTGCCTCAGCCTCCTGAGTGCTGGCGTCATAGGCAGGCGCCACCACACCCAGGGCCAGACCTGTAATTACTGACAGACGCTTGATATCCTGGGCACATCACTCCCACTGTGCCTCAGGCTGCTTCCCAGCGGTCTGCCCTGAGCGGTGGGTTACCTGGGGTGGGAACGCATAGGCTCGCGTGTGGTCCGAGAGCCTGACTCGGAAACTGTAACAAGAACACAAGGAAAGAGAATCCAGAGAAGAAACCAGAGAGTGGAAGAGGGAATCCACCAGCCAGGAGGAGGAGGAGGAGAGGCGGGGACACAGGCAGGAAAACACAGACAGTACTGCAGGCGGCGCCGGCAGCAAGACTGGGGACAAGGGGTGGGGTGGCCCTGCGGGCGGGACCGCGGGAGGGGCCTGGCGCGCCAGAGGCTGCAGTTTAAAAGGGGCTGGCCCGTCCGGACGATGCCACAGGTGACTTCGACGCCCGACCAGGGGACCCTCGGGCAAAACGGGAAGCCTGGCCAATGAGATAGACAGGCTCGGGGGACCCGGGCACAGCGCGGCACCGCCACCATGTGCGAGCTGTACAGCAAAGAGGACACGCTGGCGCTGCGGGGCAAGCACATCGGGTGAGGGGCCCCGCCCGCAGGAGAGGCGCAGGGAGGGGGCAGCAAGGACCCGGGCGACGGCGGCTGGTGGGAAGAGAGCGAGTGAGCTAGCAACACTGGCGCGCAGTGCGCAACGCGAACTCCCGTCCACCGCGCGCGCCTGGTCTTTACCTCACCTGGGTCGGCTGAGCCAGGGCTAAGGCTGGAGGAGCTGGCTGAAGACTATTGATTGCTCGGCAGGAGGGCTAGCAGGCAGGTGCGAGGACCCAAATCCAAAGCTTGTAATCTGGAAACTCAGATCTTTTTTTTTCCTCTACTGAGGACTGAACCCAGGGTTGTCGAACCGAGCTACAGCCCTGCCTCGCCTCTTCTTACTTTTTGAGACAGGGTTGTCACTAAGTTTTCCAGGTTGGGCTGGAACATGCGATCCTCCTGCCTCAGCCTCCCAGAGTGCAGGAATGACAGGCGTGCACCACCATGCCCAACTACAGAAATACTTTTAAAACTGGCTGGGAAACTCAATACTTTGAAGCTGCCAACCTTTATTTTTTTATTTTTTATTTTTATTTTTTGGTTTTTTGGTTTTTTCTCCGGTACCAGGAACCAAACTCACGACCTTGCGCTTGCCAGGCATGCGCTTTTGCCACTGAGCTAAATCCCCAGCCCCACTGCCAACCTTTATTTAAAGTGAACTTTTCCCCTGCGTGCTTGGAAGCAGCCAGGAGGAAATACAACTGCCTTGTCAGAAAAGCTGGGGCTGCCATCTGCAGCTGCCCTGGGACATGCTGGCCTCCCCAGTATGCCCTGGCCTGGGTTTTACAAAGCTGTCTGCTTTAGTGTGTCCCCCTCAGGAACAACTTGGTAGTGAAAGTGGTGCTCTGGTCCCCCCGGGTGTCCCCTGCCTGAGTGACTTCTGTCACATTAATTTCCTCTCATAGAAGTAGGAATAGCAGTGTTGTCCTTTACAGGTCTGAGCAAATGAGAATAACAGTGTGTTTGTGAGTTGTGGCCAGGTTTCGTTTTTACATTTTTTTACTTGTTTGTGATGGGGGTCTCGCTCCGTTGTCCAGCCTGGTCTCCAGCTATGGGCCCAAGCGATCCTTCTGCCTCAGCCTCCTGAATAATTGGAACTAGAGTGTGACCCTGTGCCTGGCTTCTGGTTTTTATGACAATAGCTATAAATATGAAGGGTGACTGTGGATCTTAACTTGGAGATATAAACTTGTAGATGAGTTTGAACCCACAAGAGGTTCTCACTAGCTGTTATGTTCATTTTACCTGATGTTTCAGAACTATATCAGGGGCTGTGGATACAGTGTGGGGGTAAAGCCCCTGCTGAGCATACGACAGCCCTGGTTCCATCCCCAGCACTGCAAACAAAATAGTCATCTGTGCACACTACAACCTCAAGCAATTGTCAAGCCGAGGCTACCCGCTATTCCCAAGAATCAAAATACTTTCTAAATAGTTGCAGATCAACTTAAAATATATGTCCCTAAGAGCCCCCTAAAACTCTCATATGTAGAGAGTTCTTTTATATATGCAAAACCACCAAAATAAAAATATATATTCAGTGTTAACTCTTAAATATCTACGGAACCAAGATCAGGAACCTTCATGATATTCCTGTTGCCAAAATTTACACTCCAAACATTCATCCAAATAACCAAAAATGTGTATTACTTTTTATTGTGTTCAAAGAGTATATTAGAAGGATACTTGAATTTCATTATTTAAGGTGGAAACTAAACTGGGTGTGGTGGTGCACACCTGTAACCCCAGTACTGGGGAGGCTGAGGCAGGAGGATTGCTGTGAATTTGAGGTTGCTACATAGAGCCACTTTGTCTCAAAAAACTAACTAAACAAATAAATAAAATAATGAAGATAAGAATGGAGACTAGGGCTAGGGATGCAGGTGGGTAGCACACTTGCCTAGCATTTGCAAGGCCCTGGGTTCAAGCCTCAGTACTGCAAAATAAATAAATAGGTTATAGAAATAATTATGAACATAACAATGAAATTTATGGAATAAGCAGAATATTCTCCTTACACAAGACCACTCACAAAGCACGGGGATGAAAGTGCTCTGTGAAATACGCCTTGTGTTTAATGTGACGTGTGGTTTGAATTGAGCCCTTGGTGCTGTTCATTTCTTCATAGATCGGAGGGAGAAAGAGCAAACATTTTCCGGACACCACCAACTTTCAGACGCCTGCTCCCTCACAGCCTGGGTCACCCACACCAAGTTTCTTAATTTTCTTGTGCCTCGGTCTCCTCACACCTAAAAATACCAAAGCTATCAATCCCTTTTTCATAGGCTTGTCCACGGGATTAAATGAGATAATACATGTAAAATACATTACAGTTTTTGCTACATAGGACGCCTGCAGAAGAATTTTTTTTTTTTATGGTGGAACAAAACTTCGGAGAGGACATTGAGGAGTCAGTCTGGGGGCTGAGCGCTGCCAGCAGGTGGTCCTCGGTCTCTGGAGAGGGTTGGAGAATCGAGGAAAAGTTTAGGCCGCGCATCTCCCTTCAGGGTACCCAGGAGCATGCGCACTAGTGCCCACGAGCGACGTCATGACTGGGTCTCAGACACGCTGATAAGAAAAGACGAGCTCTGAGCGGCTGGGATGAGGATCGAGGGAAAAGGCTCCAGGCTGAAATGAAATGGAAACAAAATAAATTGAACAGCAGGTCCCCGGGGTTGTGTTGTCCCTCTTTTTCTGTGGCTGTGATTTTGCAGGGCTGGTGACCGCGCTCAGCAGGACAACCGAGTCGCCCAGTCTCAGGGTCTCTCTGCTCGTCCTAGGCCCTCCTGCAAGGTGTTCTTCGCTAAGGACCCCGTGAAGATCGTGCGGGCCGAGCGACAGTACATGTTCGACGAGCGCGGCCAGCGCTACCTCGACTGCATCAACAACGTGGCCCACGGTGAGCGGCGCCCGGGCTGCTGGGGACAGGGCCAGGCACGGTGTCCCAGGGACGTGAGAGGGCGAGGCTGCCGCACACAGGGAGGGAGAGGCACGCGCCTGCGTCGGGAGCCGCTGGCGCCCAGCGCTGAGCCGTGCCCTGTCCCCTGGCGGTGTCCTGCATTTCAGTGGGGCACTGTCACCCCCAGGTGGTCGAAGCCGCCCACAGGCAGATGGAGCTGCTCAACACCAATTCCCGCTTCCTGCACGACAACATGGTGGCCTACGCCCAGCGCCTGGCGGCCACCCTGCCCCAGCAGCTCTGTGTCTGCTACTTCACAAACTCGGGGTACGTTTCCTGCGCCCTCCTCACCCCTGCTGGGCCAGCGTTAAACTCCGCCCAGGCTCCCACGCCCGGTCCTTGGGGTGCCTGGTGGAGCCCAGACCTCTGAAAGGGAGATGCTTCCCCCTTGAGGAGCACCTCGCATTGGGGGCCTGGTCTCCCCTCTCCTCAATGCTCAAACACCCCCAGGTCCTAAGGTAGTAGAGTAGCCACAGAAGCAATCGCCCAGATAGAGCTTTCAAGACACTACTGAGAAGCCAGGAGCAGTAGCCCAAGACTGTAACCCCTGCAGCACTCAGGAAGCTGAGGCAGGAGGATTGCTGCAAGTTCTAGGGCATCTTGAACTATATAGTGAGATGCTGCTTCAAAAAGCCAAATAATTTTTTTAAATTAACGAGGACTTTTAGTAAAGAAAGCAAGCTACTAAACAAGCTATACTTTCTGTAGATTTTGTTTTTTGAGACAAGGTCTCTTGGTATGTAGTTCAGGCTGAACTTGAACTCACTAAGTAGCTCAGGCTGGCCTGGAACTTATGGTAATCCTCCTGCCTCAGCCTCCCAAGTGCCGGGATTATAGGTATGAGCCACCAGGCCTGGCTCTTTTTGTAGGATTTTCCATCAGTTTTGTATTTCCTCAACATAAACACAGGAAAGAAAAGAAAAAGGAAATTCAAGGATATATTTCAACTTTTAAATTCTGTAAATTCAAGTGATCATCTCTGCATTCTATGACATGTTATGCAGATAGTATGTTTCAAAGAGTGTGTTTTTGAAAATACATCTCTAATGACTTGCAAAGCTTGAAATGCAGTTATACTGAGGGAAAGTTTTCTATATATAGTATCAGCAACTCCTATTTTAGATGATATATTTTTATTACATTCATTATTAGAATCTGTTTGTTTATATCATTTTCTCCAATTTACTTTTCCACAAGATATTTCAAAAGCAAACATATAACCAGAATATCATTTTTTCCCCTGTAAAGAATTGAGAAGATATTTTAGGATCTAATATGTTGTTATAAAGCATTCATGAGACAGTGTTTGACTTTCATTTGTAAAGAACTCTATACTGTCAAAGAGGGATTTGTCCCAAACAGCACTGTCCCGGCTGAGCGGGGGTCACAGAGCACATCTGGGGACAAGGGTCTTGGTCCAGCAGTCCTGCCAGCTTTGGGTGGAAGCCTGGCTCCACTCCTCCCTTGCTGAGCCACCTTCTCCTGCTCATTCGACCTCTCTGATGCTGTTTCTTTGACTGGAAAAGGAACCACTACGGCACCTGCCTCGCACAGGTGTGAGGCGCATAAATCCAGGGAAATGCTCGACCGGGGACATGAACAATTAGTTCCTTTCTTCACATCAGGTGGTCTTTGTAGACTCTGAACGAGATACAAAAGGTGTAATCTTCATTTAATAAAGCACGTAACCCAGCAAAGCAGTGGTCCAGCGAATGGCTGTCCAGTTCCTCCTCTGGCTTCCCCGTGTCCTGGAAGATAACACAGGCAACATCGCTGAAACTTCTACTGGGTTTCTTCTATTTGCCTCATTCTTTGCTATATTTTATTTTTAATTTCTTAATTGTACGTATGTCACGGTCTTTACTGAAAGCACCTAGGCAACTCGCTTTGGAGACAAGTGAGGCGAGACGGACGAGAGGGACTCAGCTTGTCGCTGTGTACGTTTTCTGAATGAATGTCACCTTGCAGCCTTGGTGGTCAACACTGTGAAAGTGATCGTCACCCTGTCCCTCCCTACCCTGCTGTCCTTACAGATCTGAAGCTAATGACTTAGCCTTACGCCTGGCTCGGCAGTTCCGGGGCCACCAAGATGTGATCACCCTGGACCAGTAAGTTTGGGCACAAGCTTTCCAAGCACAAAGCCCTTGGGAAACAAAATCATGCTGACCCCAGGCCTACTAACACCGTGCACATGGGGGGTGGGCAGATGCAGGGATCGGTGTTTTTAACTCCGTATTAAGGCGCTGAAATGCAAAGGAGAGCAGTCCTTCCAAGACCCGCAGGTCCGGGGCTCCCCGGGGTGCAGGGTGCTGGAACCCCACAGCTCCCGTGCTCCGGGCCAGTCTTCACACACTCTTGATTGTGCCTCTGCGACATCTACTAACTCAACCCTTTTTTAAAGAAAAATGCCATTCGTTTCTGAGAAATCCAAGCACTTCCTGCACGATTATGATTATTCGCCGCCATCAGCTTTACAGATAAGTTAAACTTTAAGCGGGCCAGCAGCCCACTACAATAACTTGTGACTATGCATCACATCTAACTTGGCTCAAACATTAATTTGTTATACTTCCAACATGAAATTTGCCTGCTTGTATCCTTATGCGGGAGGGGTTTTTGTATTTTATTTTTTGGTCAACCCTGCGCAGGGAGGAACCAGCCCAGCCCCTTCCCTGGTCCCTCCAACAGCTGCTTCTCAGTTTGCGTGATGAGTGCGGCCAGCACTTCCCGTTTCCCCTGCATTTGCCACCATGAACCATACAAGCTCACCGCCTGACCTTTCTGTAGGTTAGAAATCCAAACTAGCTCTAACTGAGCTGGATAAAGGTGCTCGTGGAGGCCGCCTTTCCCCCTTCCGGAAGCCCTGGGTCCTGCTGTCTCCACCCACCCGCCCAGCTTCCAGGGCTTTCAGTGCCCCCACACACACACCTCCTCTTTCACTTATAGGACACTTGTAACACCTGTGACCTGCCCAGATGCTCTCCCCATGCCAACCATCAGTCTGATCCCATCTGCAAAATCCCCTTTGCCTTGAAACCTAAGTGATTGGTAGGTTCTGAATATTAGGAGGTGAATATCTTTGGGGAGGGTCTTAAGTCCTCTTTTATTCCCATCCCCGTTAGCTACAGAAGCGAGAATAAGGCTACTTAATGTGTATCTTTTATTTTGGAGTCCATGTGAAAAGTACTTTATGTGCATCTATTTTAATTTTTCGCAAATTGCTACAGATCTCTTTCTTCGTGTTTCTATGTCACGTCCTCCACATGTTTCGAGGACTCTATGTGGCTATAGGTCCTGTTCTAACTCAGCGCAGCCTGTTAGAAGTACCGTGTAAGCCACAGAAGCAATTTAAGATGTCCTAGAAGCCAGTACACCCAAAGCATCATTGTTTCAATGTGTAATCAGTGTAAAAGATAGAGATAGCCCACATTCTTTGTCACACTGAGTATTCAAGGCCCAGGGTATGCATCATATGTATGGCACAGCTCTGATCAGGCAAGCTGCTTTCTAAGCACCCGGCAGTCACAGGTGGGAGCAGCTGCCACAGGGCATCACAGAGCAGTTCAGGTGGAGCCTTCCCTGGGACAGTTGCCATGGCTACCACAGGCTGTGTCCCACCGGCATCCCTCCCTAAGTGCCCTTCTGAGAACTTCTTATGGCTAAAGACACAGAACAAGGTTGCCTTCAGAATGGTTGTACCCTACACAGTACACGGAGGTCCCCACTGTCCATATCCTCACCAAAACTTCGCTCGGTCCAGCCTTTTAATTGGTCCTAGTTTTCGCCAGTGTGATAGGTACAGCATATCATCCCAGTGTTATCTGATTCTCCTTTTCCTAAGCAGTAATCTGAGCACCTCTCCATGTGCATTATGCTCTTGTGGTTTTGGGGGGCTTCCTGTTCATTGTCTTGCCTGTTGTTCTGTTGGACCCCACCCTCGTCCTGTTAGTTCCTTATAGAGTCTGGGTCAGAGGAGCTCAAGCTAAACTGCAATTTAAAATCATCTGGGAAATATTTTTAAGTGCCACTGCCCTGGCCACTGCAGATCAGCAGGACAGAACCTCGATCCATGCCCAGTTTTCCTTTTGTGAGTCCCCCAAGTGACCCTAATACACAGGCAGGGCTGAGAACCACAGTTTTGGGTGTTGATCCCTTTTAGCTGGAGATATTTCAAGTATCTCATCCAAACTGTCATCTTCTACATGTGTGCATGACGTCTTACAACAACGTGATTAAATCAAACAGAAAAAATCTCCATCTTGTGGCTGGGATTTTCTACATTCAAAAAAAATATTTCTCCTGCCATGCCCGTCCCACCAAGCCAGAACACAAGGTGTGCTTCTGCCTTCTTTCCTCTGCAATTGCTGCTCATGTGCGAGTGCCTGGAGTCGCTGTGGTACCATCTATGGATAGGTGCATCTCCAGGTTCGCTGTCTGTTCCAGGGTCTCCCTCCTTCCTCTGGTACCATGCTTCTATTGGTACCAAGGCTTCGGAGCATGCCATAACCTATGGCAGGCAAGCACTTTCTCTTTGTGTTACACATGCGTGGGTCTTTTATACTTCTTCTCCAAATCTCTCATTTAAATTTTTGGGCAAGAAACAGAAAAGGGAATAAATGTCACAGTCATTTTGTCACCTCTCAGTCTGAGTTCTTCTCAAAGAAGCCTCCTGTTCCTTTCCCACTAGTATTTATCTAATATCTGCAACAGAGCATCCTTTAGAAACCATCCCAAACAGAAACCAATGAACACTCTTTGATAGAAAGTTGCTTTTAGAACTGTATCAGCTGCACATAGCAGCACATGCCTATGATCCCAGCCAGTTGGGAGGCTAAGGCAGGAGGATCACTTGAGCCCAGGGCTTCGAGGTGAACCTGGACAGCAGAGTAAAACTTTATTTAAAACAAACTTTTTTACTAGGATATAACTGTCAAATACATTTGAAAATTACATGTGAGGTTTTTGTAGACAATCTATTTTAGCAATGTAATCTAAAGAAATTGTGTGTTTTCCCCTCTCAAAAGAAATAGCCCACAAGGACACTTGGTTTCCATGTGCTTCATTACATTATAAAGGACAAATTAAATGGCCAGCTTCACCATGGGAGAGCGATCCTAAGTCATGCTGTCCGGCACCAGCATGGAGAGTCACCCGGACGGATGCGTGTGGGAGACGGGCAACATGATGTTCCATACAGTGGAAGAATCTCTCAGAGCAGTTTAGCTACTGTTCTTTTTCTTTTCAGTGCTTATCATGGTCACCTATCATCTTTAATTGAGATCAGTCCATATAAATTCCGGAAGGGCAAAGATGACAAGAAAGAATTTGTACACGTGGTAAGTCTTAGAGCCCTCCAATCAGAATATGAGTCCCGGAAGGATGCCTGAGGAGAATCCAGCTCCATTCTTTCATCAGAAGGAAACCATGGGACGTAAAGTAAGATCTTGAGCGGTTACAGCACTGTCCCAAAGCCAAAGTCCAGACAACATGTGGTCTAAAGTCTACTGCTGAATTAGTTTAGTGGTAGAGTGTTTGATTCGCAACTGTCATTTGATTTTTCTTGCTCCTTGGTCTTCAGTGACTTTTTCTATCACTGATGTCAACTCAGAATTCAGAGTTAGTCTAATCTGCATGACTGCTATGAAATTAATTTGCTCTGTGCCAGTAGCGGTGAACTTATGGCACATGTGCCACAGCCAGAAGTTTATCACCGGCAGCTCTAAAAGGTTCACCATCACTGTATGCGCTGCTATTATATAGATTTAATAAGTCAAATAAAGAAACCAAGCAAGTTGTTGAACCAATGAAATTCACTTGATGTTTGTGTTAGTAGAGGGTCAGTAGATTTTTCTTAAGACAATCATTAGTAGCTGCTTACTGGTTTCTGCCTGTGATCCCTGTACTCAGGAGGCTGAGGCAGGAGAATTGCTGCAAGTTCAAGGTCAGTCTGGGCTACATAGGAGTTTAAAGCCAACCTGAGATCCATAGTGAGACCCTGTCTCACCAAAAGCCTCTTCACTCTCCCCCTCAAAAAATACCTTCTTTCAGGATTTTAAGGTCTAGAGTCAGTGCTCAGGCACTCTTTCATTTTCTGAATGATTCTAATTTGAGATATGACTAATAGGTGTTGGTTCATTTTAAAAATACAATAGTGAATACAGTTTCCATTCATTGACATTTTAAATAATATGATCACCTTTATTAATCTGAATTTGCTTTTTATGCAGACAGGGATAAAGTCTTGATATATAAGGGTCTGGGAACAAATCCAAGCTCCTGTTCAAAATTCAAAGATGTCAGTTCTTCACAGAACTCAGAAATATGGAGGGAAAAGAACAAAGGAGCCCAGGGTCGCTCAAGCTGACAGTCACCCTTCCACCATGGCCTTGCGGGGAAGCACACTGTTTTGAAAGTTTGTCCGGGAGGCAGATCATGAGAAGCCGCGTGCTTGCTGTTGGCAGGCCCCAGTTCCCGACACTTACAGAGGGAAGTACCGGGAAAACCATCCGGACCCCGCGGGCGCTTACGCAGACGAAGTGAAGAAAATCATTGAGGAAACGCGTGCCAGTGGGAGGAAGGTTGGTACTTTGGAAACCCGGAAACAGCTTTTATAAAATACACTGAAACTGTTGCAGTCAGTGGGGAGAAGAAAAAGGATTAGACCTAAATTCCCTTTCTGTTCTTCTCCGGTTACAGCTTCGTTTGGTCCACATTTCGCAAAGTGCACGATTCTGGCCGTGCCTCTGAGGCGGTCCACATTGATTGTCCTGGAGATGTGATTGCCATGCCCATCCCGAGCTGCTGGCCCAGGACTAACCTCTCGGGCAGTGGGCAGGGTCAGGATGGTGGGCAGTGGTGAGAAACGGAAGGAAGACAAGAGGTGTCACGGGCCAGGCTGTCCCGGAGAACAGGGCACCAGGTTAACCGGCAGTGCAGGCAGCAGAGGCAGCTCGGCCGGCCACACTCCCAGACCCACGAGGAGCGGGCGCTGCCCTCCAGCTGCTTCCGCCTTGCCAGGGTTACTCTGCGTCTGGGTAGACCGAGGCAGAACGCTGTCCTCCAGTCTGGGCCTGGATGTCTTAGACAGAACCAGGGTCCTCCAGAGCAGGAAATCGGGGTTTCTTCTTTTCAGTCTGCGCCCTCCTGGTTCATCTTACTGATGCCCTATTCCCAGCCCACTGAGGGCAACTAGTGAGGACATTTCGCGCAACTCGAGCAGTACTGTGCCTTGAAACTGGCTTATGGCATAGATACGGCAGTTATGAAAGAGATCATTGAAATATAAATGATTCGCTTTTTCTAGTGAGAGCTTTTTGTCTTCATGACTGCAGAGGCACTGGCATTCCCTGTCGCTTCATTTGCCTCTCCTTTGTATTGTCTTCTCTCACAGTATCTCTGTACAGACAGATCCAAAGCTCCCTCTTCAGAAATAGCCCGTGGACGATAAGCAAGAGGGTCTGGTAACTTTCTGAGGATATTAGCGATGGATCACTCTGGTTGACGCTGCTGTATTAGCGACGCAAAACACAGTGAGCTTCTGAGTAGAGGATATGCTCGCAGATCCATAGCATTTTACATGAGAAACCTCTGGAGTCCAACACCCTCATCTGACAGCGACACCACGAAATATCTAAGAAGTGCAGGATTTCTCCCAAACTAATGTGCCTGTTAGGAAGTAATCAGAACTAGAACCTGGGTTTTCTTGATTTCACTTTTAGGTTTATTTTCCAGCTGGCCTTGAACTCATTATGTAGCCCACGCTGGCCTAGAAGCCACAATGATTCTCCTGCCCCAGCCTCGCAGGTGCTGAGATTATCGGCATGCACCACCATGCCTGGCTCTTGATTTCTTATCCCACACTCTCCCCATACTTTCTCTTACTTCTGCATTCTCTGTTTCCTATTTCCACTCTCTCAGCCTCTGGAACACTTCATCTGTGTTCCATGGCGACTTGCCTAACTGTGGGTTTAGATTTCATCCACGGGGAAACCTAGAAATATGACTGAGAACCCTTGCAGGGTGGCCACCAGCCATCCCATCACCACCTGCAGCTTCCTGACTCACCACGCTAGGAAACAGATGCCACCGTGATGGCTTGGGTAACTGCGCGATTTCTCAGAGGTTCTTATCAAAGACAACCAAAATGTCAGCCTTCCTCAGCTCATCCTAACGAAACCACTGCTCTTTCATGGTGAAGAAAAGAAGTCACCCTCTCATCTCCTCCATTTCCTATGGTAGCTTTACTTACCCTAGAATTTCAGGGATAGAGCTTTAAATCATTTACATCTCCAGCAGAGTGAGATTTCTTTCAAGTCAAAGGGCCTTCTTGCCGCCTACCAGAGGTCTGTCCCTAACTACTTTGAAAATAGCCTGCTCTGGCAGAAAGCCTCTTTTGTTGAGCTAGAAGGACCTAATGCACTCTGACCCCATGTTCTCTTATAGATCGCCGCCTTTATTACTGAATCCATGCAGAGTTGTGGTGGACAAATAATCCCTCCAGCAGGCTACTTCCAGAAAGTGGCAGAGTATGTACTTGCCCGGGTCGTGCTTGGTCAGACTGAGGTCACTGTGACAATTCTGTAGGGCCACACCGGGACTAAAATGTGGGACTAGTACCTAGAAAATACCCACTTCTGAGTGCCTGCCACCTCAGCACTCTCGGATGTGCCCTTGCCTTCCCCAAGGGCCACCAAACAGAGGCTTGACACAGGGCCCCGAGGAGGAGCGCCCTGCCCGCCATCCTGTCTGACCTGCTGGGTCCCGAGACTGACCCATTAGTACACACGAGGGGATTAACCCTGCCAAAAACCACTCATTCAGTTCTCTCCCTCTTAAAATACCATAACATAGCTTACTTTAGGCAGTGCAAACCCAGATATTGTAGACTATATCTCACCTAGAAATCATGTGATTATATTGGTGCAGTGTGGATTCTGAGTACTAGAAAGCTGTTAACACAGATTAAGGCTTCAGGATAAAACTGTTTGTTTAGTTTTCCATAAGCTGTATCACTGTGGGTGGGCAGGTTTGGGGACTCTAGACCCGAAGCCAGGGAAACCCCCTTTGCTTTTCAGACACGTCCGCAGCGTGGGAGGCGTGTTTATCGCCGATGAAGTACAGGTGGGCTTCGGCCGAGTTGGGAAGTGTTTTTGGAGCTTCCAGATGCAAGGCGAAGACTTTGTTCCAGACATCGTCACCATGGGAAAGCCGATGGGCAATGGCCACCCCATGGCATGTGTGGTGACAACCAAAGAAATCGCAGAAGCCTTCCACAGCTCTGGGATGGAGTACTTCAATACGGTAGACTGTGCTCCAACTTTAATTCGAAGAGGGGGGGCATAATGCATGTTCTTATTTTTTTTATGTAATTGCCAGTGTTGTAGGAAGTTAGGCTCAGTATTGCCAAATAGCCACCCTAATACCCTTGCCAAACTTTGATCTAATCAGATTCTATCCTATCTGGCACAATATTCCTTGTATCCTCCCCCGCTCGCGTTTTGTCTTTCCTCTTCCTAAAATAGTCTCATTAACTTTCCCAATGATAAATGATTATACTGCCAAAGCTTGGAGATTATGATTTTTTTTTTTTTTTTGGCTTTTTTCTGGTACCGGGAATCAAACTCACGACCTTGCGCTTGCCAGGCAGGCGCTGTGCCGCTGAGCTAAATTCCCAGCCCCGATATCTTCATTAATAGACAATATGATCATCTTTGTTTCACGTCCTATTTAAATTCCCAAAACACTGTCAAAGTGTTTAGATAATGTAGTTCTATCAATGTTAGACAGCTGTCATAAGTGATACTAAATTTTTGTCTTTGGGAAATTTCACTTCCTTGGCTTACAAGATTTAGGCTTGGAAAACTTCTTATAGCTTGTACACAATGTATAACAGAGCACTTAAAACAGGTAAAAGTAAAGTTCAAATCTAAGGAGATAAATCATTCAGAGAAACTATCATTGTTCAGCTACTTTCACTCAGCCCGTGAAGACTGGGAGTCCTGATTTTCCTCACTAAACCATACTCTGCACACACACACACACACACACACACACACACACACACACACAAAGGCCGGGCATGGTGGCGCACACCTGTAATCCCAGCACTCAGGAGGCTGAGGCAGGAGGATCATTGTGAGTTAGAGACCAGCCTGGGCTACAGAGTGAGCTCAAGGTCAGACTGAACTGCATAGTGAGACCCTGTCTCAAAAATCCCCCCCCCCCCCCCAAAAAAAAAAAAAACATACTCTGACGTCTTTCCTTCACAATGTAATATGTTTAATTTTTGGCTGGGTGAACCAATCAATCCCCTACTAATCCTGCTAATACCATGTATGCACCGTAGAGAACATAATCTGAAATTAATTTTCTATCATGAGGGAATAGAATCATGCTCCACTCTACATCTGAGAAACTAATATCATAAGAGAAATTTTTGTTAAGATTACATCTTCACTTCTGCATGTGGAGACAAATTTCTCTTGGAAGAGGCAAGATTACCAATTCAGTGGCTGTGTTTTGTGACTGGTCTTTTCCCTGCAGTATGGAGGAAACCCAGTATCTTGTGCTGTGGGTTTGGCTGTCCTGGATATAATCGAAGAGGAAGACCTCCGAGGAAATGCTGTGAGAGTTGGAAATTACCTTACTGAATTACTGAATAAGCAGAAGGCCAAACACATGTTGATAGGAGATATTAGGTATGTTTTTCATGAAGCTCTCCTCTAGTTATTCATTTTTCCAAAATTAAAATAATTTATATTTTATCTTATAAACTGAACATATGTAAGCTAAATCTAGAAAACACTGAGAAACAAAGAAAAATCATCCTTACCCAGAACCCACTGTTAAGTGTTGTTAATGTTGGAGTGTTCCTGACTAGTACATATTTTCCTTTTTGCAAAGCCAGCATCATTTCAGCCCCCAAAAGATGAAAAGGAGAAACTAAAAGCAAGCCTACATGACCTATGGAAAATTATTTACAATGTTGCCTAGAAAGCTAGCTCCTTTTCATAGCTATATAAACATTTGTATCATCAATACCCTGAAAAACCAAAGGTTGTCCGGAAGCCCCTTTCTTTTGTAATTGGGAGGAAAAAAAAAAGCAACACTTGATAAAAAAAAAGTTTCGAAAACTAAAAACACCCGTAAACACTGCTAGGCATCTCGGACGTCAACAGCATCAGAATGACAGGGCGGCACACCTAGCTTCAGATGGGAGTGGGGAACAGTGTCATCCATTGTGCAAACACAGAGCTCCCCAGCAGGTCACATTTCTCTTGTCCTGTTCCTCAGGGGCGTTGGTCTTTTCATCGGAATTGACTTAGTGCAGGACCGAGAGAGAAGAACCCCCGCCACCGCCGAAGCCCAGCACATCATCTACAAGTAAAGCCCCCTGCGATTTGCTGTCCAGTGCTTGGCCCATTTGAAAGCTCGTGTTGTTTCCTCTCATCTCTCCAAGAAGGAGGGTTTGAGACACACGCACTTGCTAGCCCTGGGTTTGCTGGATATGGGACTCTTGACTATCCTGCCTGTTGGTTATCACCAGGAGCACTCACCAGTATTCCCTGCATCCACCAGGATGAAGGAGAAACGCGTGCTTCTCAGCGCCGACGGACCGCACCGAAATGTGCTTAAGATAAAACCACCCATGTGCTTCACTGCGGAAGACGCCGAGTTCGTGGTGGAGCAGCTGGACGGGGTTCTGACAGGTGAATCCCCAGATGACAGAGTCTCCTCGCCCGCCCGCCCCCGGCCCCCACCCTACCCTAGCCGCTCCCCCAGGGCCAGGGACGTCTTGCTGCGCACAGTGGAAGTCAGTGTGTGACTTCCCATTTAGCAACAGAAGCAGAAAAACGTGAAAAAATGAAGTTTTCAGTTTATACCCACACAACTAGGATCATCAGGATATTTACAACTGCACAGGCTATTCGTAATAAATTTTTACTATATGCTAACTTATTTGACTTTTTAATTTTTTCTTTTAAATGATATTTATTAAAATATTTTTCTTATTTCAACTTAATTTTTGAGGGCTTTTATCATTCAGAATGGCAGTCTATCGCAGGAATTTATCACATGTTGATCCATTTTACGTGATTAGGTTCATTTCTTTTTCTGTTAGGAACATAAATTGGACACAGAAATAAGCACTGTAAAAATAGTGATATCATAAATCACTATTGAAATGTTGGATCTTTTTTTGTCATTACATTTTTAAGATTCAGCTTCTCTGCTGGCGTCTCGCCTTCTGGGGTTAGGGCCAGGCTGCCGCTGCCGCCATCAGAGTCAGGAATCGGTACAGCAGGCGAAGCTGACCCCCGGTGTTTGGAAAGTCCCGAGACAGCCTGGTGGTCATGAAGGGGTCGACTCTGAGGGACTCTCGCCCAACCCAGCAAGTGCTCGAGGCTGCGGGGCCCTGGTCGCAGGCCACCAGGTGGGGAGAGCGCACAGGCTGGGCCAGCACAGGACCTGAGCTTAATTAGTAAGCTGGGCAGCGGGCTTTCCTTTGATAAAATGAAGCAGGGACTGAAGGCAGAGGAGGAGAAGGGGAGGAAAAAGATCCGGATGCGGTATACATCCGGGTACCGACTCCCCACCACGAATGTGTTTATTATGCGTCACAAGCGTGTCCTTGTAGAATAAAGAAAGCTGCAAACAGGAATGAGACACAGGTAAAACAGGCTCAGTGCAGCTTATAAACCATCTTGGTGAAAATCCTACAATAAGTTTAAAGCGGCAGTTTTAACAATACATTTCTCTTAACACATTACGTCTGCCTCTCTGTTCTTCATTTGGGGCATTCCTATGCATACTAAAAACTTTTTCAAGATGTTTATACTGCTCTGCCTTCTGCATGACATGTTGCTTCATTTAGTTTTAGAAGAATCCATAAGAAGCCAAACCAAACTGGTGATCTCTGAGAATATCCCACACAGAACAAAGGTAAGATTGGCCACAAAAAAAATGCTCATTTAAAAAACTGTGCAATGGTTGTTAGAACAAATCCAGCCCAGGGTAGGGTTGGCTCACTGCTGGAACTCTGAGTGCACGAGTGCATGTACAGCGCCTCCGTGTGAGGAATAAAGTCAAAGAACCGTTCCTACGGGATCATACCCATAAACATCATCATGATCATCTCCTGTGGCCTGCAAAGAGGGTCTTCAGAATATAGAGAGGGTGAGAAGAAGCCAACGTCCTGCCTGTTTGCTTTGAGGGCCTCCTGACTCAGCTTCCTGGTCCTACACTGCTCTTTCCACCAACAGAGCCTCGGCACTGTGGCTTCTGAGTGCCCCAGCTTGGTTCTAGAAAGGATCCCTGTGAAGGCAGCCGGGCCTGGGAGCCCAGCGGGGCCGAGTGGCCCAGTTTCCCCACCTGCTCTCTCCACGAGCGGCCCTTCCCTTCCCCTCCCCGGCTGCCGGGCTGAGAGAAAGGGCGCCCCGCATCAGCAACCAGAGGCAGACCTCGAGAGGCTCTGTTGCATAATCTATTATTGTTTGTTACTCCGCCGCAGAAAGGGACACTCAGTGCCCAGTGCCGCCCGCGCCGCCAGCGCAGTCAGCAAAGTCTTTGCAGACCGAAAACATCGGGCTGTGGAATGAGGACAAGTGCCTGGCGAACAGGACGGCTTCTGTCTCTGCACACAGTCGGACAGCTCTCAGGGTCCGTCCTGGTCCGCACTTCAACAGCAGTTCACAAAGTCTGGGATGGAATCCCTGGGCGTTGAAAAGGGCCCTGCACAAAGCGGAGTTCCGCAAGGAAACTTCACCCTGCAGTTAGTGAAGGGGCACACGCGCTTAGGAAATCCGGACTTCGAGTCCCAGATTTTATGTTGACATCGCATTTCTTTTCATTGATTGATTGATTTGATTTGGCGGGGTGTTGAGACACAGTCTCTCTGTATGATTCAGGCTGGCCTTGAACCTACTATATAGCCCAGCCTGTCCTCTAACTCACAGCCATCCTCCTGCCTCAGCCTCCCTGTGCTGAGATTACAGCCCATATCAAAGGTTTCCTGAAGACACTAATAAGGGGCTGGAGAGGAGTGCTGGGCTCTGTCTTGTTTTCCTGGGAGTTTCCTGGGCTGAGCTGTTAGAAGAGTTCCCCGGGCCGGGTGGGCACCCACCGAGTGTGTTTCTGTCTTGCAGATGCTTAAGGAGTCCCCCGGGGACCTGCTCGATGAGAACACCCCTGAGGCCACAGAAAATGCCAGCAGGAAGAGGAATGGTGAGTGCATAGGAAGCACTCGCTGCTCAGCAAAAGGCTCAAAACGTGACAGCCGCCAGCCACAGGGAGCTGTCTCCTGATGGTTCTGTCCCAACCGGACTGCACCACACACACACACAGCACCACACAGCACCACACCGCAGAGGAGAACATCTGCCCACTTACATTTAAAAATGCAAGGGTCACTGAGAATAGGAATAAACCCAGATAGTCAGATGGAGTCAAGATTGTTATGTCAGCCCGTAATTCCTGCCCTGAGATTTCTGAACGTACTGAACTTATTAATTATATAATTAAATTGAAGCCTGCAAACACAGGATTCAGCGGGCAGGTTGACATCTCGTGTCTTAATGTTTGAAAGTAGGCAGCCATGGATAATAGATTCCTTAGCTTTGGGGACTTAGTGCATTAAACTATAAATTCTATGAGATTTAATATGTAAGAATCTATTTATGAACTGTTATTAAATAAAAGATCAGATAAACACAAAATTACTTAAAAAGCATTTGCCTTTTTTGCAAAGAATGTTAAGGGTTGGGTGTGATAAAACCAAAATCATTTAGAAAACAAATCACATGTAACAAATGTTAAAGAGCGAATGAGCCAGGCATGGTAACACACACTTGTAATCCCTGCACTCAGGAGGCTGAGGCAGGAGGATAGCAAGTTCAAGTCAGAAAGCTAGATTTTTGAGTTTACTTTTCCCATGATCCTCTATTGCCTTCCAATGAGTTCTTAAATTTTGTGTTTTGTTTCTCTCTCCACATGAAGAGACAATAATAACTTTGCCACAGCTTGTTCCTGATAACCCAGAGGGTTACTGACAGGGAAATTGCAAAAAGCTTCCTCTCTGAGTGGGTTTGCTATGGAAATGCTAGATTTCATCACCAAATGCTTCCAGCTCCAAAAGTGCCTGTGTGCATCTTACCCATATAAGGCTGAGGTCAGGCCCAGGGGCTGGCAGGGAGGGCACAGAGGGCTCCATGCTTGGCTTCTAGGGACAAAATTCTTATAGGATGGCCAGACCAGCTGAGTGCAGCAGGCACACTTGCAATCTCAGCTTTTCAGGAGGCTGAGGCAGGAGGATCTCGAGCTCAAGCTCAGCCTCAGCCATCTGCATGTGTAATGGATTGACAACTGATCAACTTATAATGCCCAGCTGAATTGAGTCAGAGTATTTCTGGGTGTGGGAGGCCCATCTGACAATTGCTGCCAGCAGCATAAGAGGCAGAAGTGGACAAGAGGAAGTGAGGCTGTTGGGAGCTGAGAGGGGCTGTTGGGAGCTGGTAGAAGCTGTAAGGAGCTGTTGGTCATTTTGGAGGAGCTTGTCAGCCTGGCTTTCCTGATGAACTTGGCTGTTTTCAACCTCTGAGGAGCTTGGGACCTTGTTGGCACTGAGAATAGCTTCAGTTCACTTTTGGGGAGCTCTGATCCTCACACTGAGCATCACTTCATGGCTCCAGAGGGGACAAAAGTGCACAGCCCAGCCTCCTTAGAGAAGCTTGTTGTGTTGGCTTTCCTGATGGGAACTCAGCTGTCCTGATCGTGAGGCACTCAGGACCTCACTGTTGCTGAGAATGGCTGTGGTAATTTTCAGGGAAGCTCTGGTTCTTACTCTGAGCATCACTTCCTGGCTCCAGTGCAGATCCCTCAGCCTGCTAGCACAGACCCTTCATCCTGCTGGCACAGACTTTCTAGCTTCTGCCACTGACCTTTGGGCCTTCCAGTGCAGATCTGTGAAATAGACCTGCATGAGATATTAAGGGCTCTAGGCCTCCAGGTGGACTCAGGGGAGGCACTGTTTTGAGTCCTAGGTCTTCAGCCGGACTCATGCAGGGCATTTCTGCGGGATCAGGCCCTCAGATAGATTTCTTGGGCTATACTGTGTGGACAGATTTCCTGCACTCTCTTGTATATGATTCTTTGGGTGACTATTATAAATAATCTTATAAAATATGTGTCCTGTGTTATATATTATTCTCCTTGCACAAGCCCCAAACCATGACAGCACGTGTTCATACACAGTGCTGGACAGCACCTTGTCCTCCACCCCGGAGCTGTGGTCTCTGCTCAAGAGCACCAGATCTAGTTTATATCATAAGGAAGATGTAGAGACAAGTGATACAACAGACACCGGCCTTGCAGGAAGTTGGAGGCAGCTTCCGCAGTGTCCATCGGCGGATGAACAGATAAAGAGCATGTGGTATTTATACACAGCGGAGCACTACTCTGCTATAAAGAAGGAGAAACTTGAACCATTTGTAGGAAGTGGATGCACACTTTTACTTTCTGCTCACAGAAAGTAAAAAGTACAATAAAACAGGCAGCACCAGTTCAGGGCTCTCTAGGACCCGAGATAAAGCCTCATGGTGGAGTCAGAGACCACGGAGAGGACAGGCGGATCACATTCCTGGGTCGCAGCCATCCCGCCCCACACCGCAGGCTGCAGAGGGCGGCGCTGTGGCAGATCTGCCCAAGGACACTGGATCTCGGGGCCCACTGTGTACCCCCCAGCCATGCACCCCACCGCCCTTCCGAGGGGCTGCACAGGAACAGTGCGGGCCCCAAGTCAGGCGCATGAGCACGACAGACAAGCAGATGACCCGAGAGCCACCACCCTGCTGTCACACTGCGTGCGCCTCCTCCTGTGGCCTGGTCAGCGAAGCCCAGCCGCGCTGCTCACCACCACTCCCAGGACACAGCTGGAGGGATAAAATTCCTGAGGAATCAGAAGGCAGGAACAGCCACTGTGCCCTGGGGGGTAGTCTCCGGTCCACCTAGCATTTGCTTGCAGAGTTCCGTGTCTGAGCTGCGCCTGGGCTCCCTGCCCAGCACCCTCCAGGGCCATAACATCCCACCTGGCCAGGCCACTCTCGGTGGCTCTACCAAGCCCAGGCCACCCCAAGCCCCAATAGCACCAAAACCAGCGCCATCCATGTTGGCAGGGCCCTGTGGAGTCAGCCTATCCCCAGGCCTCAGATGGCCTCCTGAGGAACAGGGTCGTATCAGGGCTCGCGTTGCTCTCACTGTAGGCAGAGCAGGTGCTGCAGCCCCAGGCTCACACTCAACTCCGCCTCCTGTGACTGTCCCTCTGGTGACTGCCAATGCCAGCCGAGGCCTGGGCTGCTCAGCACCTCTGCTGCACAGGTGCTTCCTGGTAGACACTGGTGTCTGACCCTGAACCTTACCTGGCATCTCCCGGCCACCCTCTCCCATGCATGTCCTGGGTCTCCTCTGGGGTGGGCATTCAAGGGCCCCGGGGCTCCTGAGCAACAAGGACTCGCTTGCACACTCTTGTACATTCACGTGCCTCCTCCCTCCCCACATAGGGGCAACCAGACCTGGCACCCAAGGTTCTGCCACCAGGAGGCACATCCACCACCACCCCTTCAAGACTGCCCCCGAGTGTGGCCATACGCAGCACCCTGTTCATCGAGGGGCAGGTCTCAGGATTGTCAAGAGGTTGTCTCCATACCCTCTGGCACATGAGTCCTCCAAGGACTTCCCGCTGGGTCATCACTGTGATGCCCTGCAAGAGCCCCAGTGGGTCCAAGTAGCCTCAGACTAAGTTACGACAAAGGGCAGGCGGTCGGCACAGTTCAGGATGAGGCTAGCTGCCTCCGGCGCCCCCGAAAGTCAGTGTGGGCCTCAGGTGCACAGCCACCTGCGTGGCACCTGAGCCTCCCCCACGTCCTCTGTGGCTGCTGCTTCAGCCACCACTGCAGCCACTGCTGGATTGCGCTTGCCGTGACCCAGTCCTCCACGATTATCCCTTTGTGCCTGGGCCAGGCCAGCAGTTGAAATAAGTCAGGACAGGAAGGTTAGGCTCCCATCCTTCAGGCTTTCCCAAGCACACTAACCTCCACCACTGATCCTCAGAATGAGGAGGAGCCTTGGATTCTCTGCTCGGCCCAGTAGGGCAGCAGGGGTGTTCAGGGCAATCTCAGGGACCCTCCTATGTGTGTCTCTGTGATGATAGCTCTTACTCCATGGACCAAGGACTTCCTGACAATGACAAAACATAGCACGACTTATTCCTCATACATCAGGTGCAATTTACTGTGCAGTTCTCTGTGCCTGGTACTTTGTTTGTAGGAAGGTCTTTAACTACAAATTCAATTGATTTCTCCCTTGCTGTGTCTTGGCCAGAGAATGTCTCTGTCTGCTAGCATTCCTTTGAAATTTGTTGAGGCCTGATGCAGTGGCATACACCTGCAATCCCAGTACTTGGGAGGCTGAGGCAGGAGAATCGCTAAGAGTTCAAGGACAAACCGGGCTACATGGTGAGCTCAAGGCCAGCCTGAACTACATAGGGAGACCCTGTCTCAAAAATCAAAACAAATAAAAAAAGAAATGCGTTGAGGGCTAGGGAGATAGCTCAGCAGCACAGCACCTGCCTGGCAAGTGCAAGGTCCTGAATTCAATTCCCAGTACCAAAAAGAAAGAAGAAAGAAAGGAAGGAAAGAAAGAAAGAAAGAAAGAAAGAAAGAAAGAAAGAAAGAAAGAAAGAAAGAAAGAAAGAAAGAAAAGAAAGAAAAGAAAGAAAAGAAAGAAAAGAAAGAAAAGAAAGAAAAGAAAGAAAAGAAAGAAAAGAAAGAAAGAGAAAGAAAGAAATGTGTTGAGACGTTATGGCCCAGCATATAGTCAATTTCATTATATGTTACAGTGTACTTGAAAAGAATATGAATTCTGAGGTATTCTATATACACCATTCAGTCAAGGTTTTGATCATGTTCAGATTTTCTCTTTATTGCAAAGTTGGCTTCTTCTATGGGAGATATGTGTGAAAATATCCCACATGCACATGATTTTCCTAACTCTGTATTTCTATCAGCTTTTGCTTTATTCAGACTACATTATTACACATATACAGATAAGACTTTTCTTCTATTTCCAACTACAGTTATAACTTTTATAAGTTTTTATAAGTACAAGTTTTCCTTGTACGTTATATATGTAATAGCATATATTATAGTCATACCTTTAATTCAGGCTGACCATATTTGACCTTTCATTTGGATGTTTCTACTTCATGGAATTCTGATATATACAGATTTAAATATATCATTTCATTCATGAACATCTGTTCTACTGCTTCTTTTTCTCTCTGTGTCCTTTCTCATTTTCCCTGGAATTTGGGTACAGAGGTTCCTTGTTTAACAACCTACCTGTCTTATGACTGTTCAGACTTCCAATCTGCCCCTTCTTTCACACACCCTTTTTGTGTGCATCTTGCTGACAGAGCCTCCATGTCTTCTTTGTACTGCACACCTTGCCTATATGGTGCTGTACCTGTTGCTGATTGTAGTGTAGAGTGCAGTACAGTAGCTGCGTGTTCGGTTGTACCTGACAGCACTGCACGTAAGAATTACGCAGATAAAAGCAAAGTCATCAACCTGGAGTTTCCTTTGACCGTTTCTTTGTTCTGAACATTGTAATTATGTACGATACACCCTTCCTCACTTGGCGACCAATTCACTTAACACCCTCAGCACAGGAATG